TGTAATTAAGAAATACACAAGCCTGGGCATGCAAATATAAAATCACCTGCTCACAGACAGGTGGCCTTTGGGGCCACATTTCACCTACACAGTTTGTGTGTGTGTGTGTGTGTGTGTTATTTGTTTTTGTTTTTTTGCCCACAGTGTTTCAAAAATTTTTGAATTAATTGCCAACCTACTTCACATTAACAGTTGTTAGCATTTTTATTCTACCTACAAAAACTAGGATATCTGGCAATGCTGGCTGTGTCCCCATGGGGCAGTGACAGCCTGGAGCTCAGTAGCAAATGACCCCTTTCTAGGGAAGATCATGCTCTAGTTTGTTAAAATCCTCTCTTCTTTCTCTGGTCTCTTCAACACTGACCTGAGTGGCAGTTGTCATATACCATTGAGTCTGAGCTCCTGTGCCGCACCCCAGGCCCACTTCACTCCCTTACATCACCTGGCCACACCCTGCAGACATCTGAGTCACTGGAGATGAAAGGAGGTAAAACTGCCCCATCCACTCCTAACGAGACAAAATACCAGGGTTTGTAATTGGATTTTTTTTCTAGAGAGGGAGCTTTCCTCGTTACAACTGTTTAACTTTATCATTTTTATTAGAATGTTTTTATGTGACTAGTTGTGGTACAAAGTTGCCACACAAACAGAGCAGCTAGAGAAAGGTGCTGAGCCCTGAGGTGTGGAGTGTGGCAGGTGCCTGACTCATAACCTCCTAAAGGTCTAAGTTAATTTTTTATTCCTTCTTGAACACTAAAACCCTAATGTTCTTTTCTAACCATAAAAAATAGCCTTATAGGAATTGTCCTTTTTGCAATTCTGTGCTAGTCGAATGATCCATAGACACAATCCGCACTCTGCAGCCTTTTCTATATTTCTTGTCCTTTCAAAAAGGTAAAAATTTTTTTCACTGATGAATCTCCAGTAACAGATTTTACATTTTATCTTATGGAAGATAACAAGCCATGTTCCTTTTCTTCCTTGACTTTCTCACATGTAGCTTCTCTTCCCCAAACCCCACCTGTCCTCAAGATTGATATTACTATTAACCAGGAGTAATACAATTAGTGGTATTGGGATACATTTTATATACTGGCCTAGGGGATAGATCAGATAAGAGGACAGCTCCAAGGGAATAGACTCTTTTCCACCTTAGCTTCTCCCCACTGATGTTTTGAAACCGCAAAGATGACAAGACAAATTCTTGAGAATTATTTTTTCCTATTCTTCCTCATCAAGTCTTAGCCTCTTTTTATATACTTTTGGAATTGAAATTGAGAAATTATTCTCTTGTGTGCATTACTTTATGTAGTATTATTTGAGTAGGGTAGTTGCTGTAATAAACAGACCTCAAAATATATAATAGCTTGAGTACTATATATTTTTTTCTTACTCATTTAAGACATGAGTGAATAGGTTTCAGATGAGGTATTCGGGCAGAAAAACCAATATAAGCTCTCTCATCTTTAATATATGACTTTAGGTGATCCGAGGGTAGACATGGCTCTCTTGGGCAGGTCCCCGTGTCTTCTATTGTGTCCTGTCAGTAGGGCTTTCCTGGATGTCAGGTGGCTCCAGCCCCAAACCTTGTTATGGTTGCCTGGTGCCTGGGGACTCCCCACCACACAGCTGAGCTGGGGCAAGGCACATGGGAATGAGTACTAGCCAAGCAACATCAGACACAAGCACAAGCATGGCTGGATCAAGCGCTTAAGCACATGGGGCCAGTGTCCATGCTCAAGGACCAAAAATCGCTGAGTCCTTGAGCACAACATTGCCTCTGAGACTACCCCTCCCATTACAGCATTTCCTGCCTTCAGACCTCTCCTGCCGCTGTTTTTGTGAGAAGGTTGGATGACTCAGACACGAGTGCTCTTCCAGTTGCGGGATTGGGCCATGGCATAAGTCTGGGGTTGGACTGGAAAGGAGAACAGGAAGTCAGAATCCAACATATGGTAACAGTTCACGGAATAGTACAATGAACCTCTCATCGTGTGCCCACCCCTTTCTGACCAACAGTTACCTACAACCCGTCCTGCTCCCTCCTATGTGTCCGTCCTTCCTTCCTTCCTTCCTTCCTTCCTTCCTTCCTTCCTTCCTTCCTTCCTTCCTCTCTTCTCTTCTCTTCTCTTCTCTTCTCTTCTCTTCTCTTCTCTTCTCTTCTCTTCTCTTCTCTTCTCTTCTCTTCTCTTCTCTTCTCTCTCTCTCTCTCTCTCTCTCTCTCTCTCTCTCTCTCTCTCTCTCTCTCTCTCTCTCTCTCTCTCTCTCTCTCTTGCTTTCATTCTTTCTTTCTTCTTCCCTTTCATCCAGAGATGGAGAAGCATGATCAGATGGTCAAACCTCTGAGGGAAGATAGGGGAGGATGGGGTAAGGGGGAGAGATCAACCAAAGGACTTGTATGCATACAAATAAGCACAACCAATGGACACAGACATTAGGAGGGTGAGGGCATGAACAGAGTGCTGAAGGGGAGCAATGGGGAGATAAGGACACATATGTAATACCTTAATCAATAAACAAATAAAGAAAAAATCACATTTTCTTCTTGAGAAAAACGCACACACATACACACACACACACACACACACACACACACACACACACACACACACACCACAATCATAAAACTTCTCACACTTAGAAAAAGTCAACAATCCTTAATATCATTAAATGTCTAAATTGTCACTGTATGTATGTGTGTGTGTGTGTGTGTGTGTGTATATAACTTTAAAGTTTGTGCTGGGGTTGTCTCTTTTCATGGGCAGCCACTAGAGAAGAAATATATGGAGGTGCATGTGTGGGAAGTTTACAATTATTTGATCCTGAAAGTGGTGGAGTACATTATTCCTTTTCACTTTCTATTAGTCAACACTCAATCATCTGATGCTGTACTAATAGTGGAACAATACCAGTTAGTTTGGTAACTTGGAACTTGTCTTATTTGCATAGTTAATTTCTTTGGAATAATCCACATTCTCCAAATGCTTCTTCTCACATTTTTTGACAGTCCTGTGGCCCTGTCATTATGATTTAATCTTTGTGGCACAGGTGGGGCAGTGACATTGGCACAAGGGCTATGCTGGTTGTTAGCTACCCAGCAAACTTTGTGCTGGAATTGGCAGATAAATGCAACCATCAGAACACAATGCAGGGCTGCCAGTCAACCTTATCTGATATTTCTTCCCTGCTTGTCATGGTGTTTCTTTTCCCCTGCTTTCTCCTGTGGTTTGCACTCAGCTAAGGATATTCAGAAGTCTCATCCAAACTTCTAGCAACTCTTTTTTCTTTATACTTTTGACTGATGATTTCATAAAGCTCCAGACACTGGGGCAGCTCTCAGACTCTGAGACTTCATTAGTCTCCTTGTCTATTCTTGGCAAGATAAGCAATCCTAGACAAATGGGAAGGCTGCTTGTCTCAACTGCTGAAGCCTTATGTTTGTAAGGGTTATGTACATTATTGAACTTTGAGCTCTTTCTTTCCAAGCTCAAGCTTCTGAACTTGTTCAAATGACATGTTCTACTGAAATAATTATTTGAAATGATGTTGGCATCTCTGTTTAATTTCTAATTCCTTGTTTTGATGTTCACCTGCCAGGCCTTTTGTATTTTCTCTGATGTCCATGCACTAAGTGCTTGATGAATTGGACCTTAGCATTAGACCTAAAATGTTAGGAGAAAGCAGAGGGATACCAGAAGGAAGGAAGCAGATAGGAGCAGGCAGGAAGGATCTGGTGCACTATAAATCAGGCCTCAATGAGACATTTGGTTTGTGAATATGGAATAGAGGGATAACAAATCCCATAGATAACATGGAGGAAAGGACAAAGAAATGGAAATAAATCAATGGTAGGTAGAAGGAGCCAATTATGGAAGTAAGGGCCAGGACACAATTCCAGTATTCTCTGCTTGATGTACATGAGAGGCAAAATCAGGGTGATGGTTTGTATGCCCCACCCCCCACCCCATTACCATCGATCCCCTCCATATCCCCTTCCACTTTCACTCATTCACCCCTCAAACTCCCCCCTCCCCATCACCACACTGTTGTCCATATCCAGGAGTTTTCTGTCTTTTGTCTTTTTTGTTCAATTCTTTCACAAACAATCTCCCCACTGCCAGCCCCTGACCTGTCTGCCTGTTCTATCTATGAGTATGTCTCTATTTTGCTTGGTAGTTTCATTTATTCATTAGCTTCCACATATAAGTGAAATCAGATGGTATTTGTTTTTCTCTGACCAGCTTATTTCACTGAGCATAATATTCTCCAGGTCTATCCATGCTGTCAAGGAACCTCTCACTTACTCTGAGGACATGTCTAGGCCAATCTTTCATGTCAGAAATGCAGACCAGAAGCATAAGCTCTGCTTACAAATCAAATGCAAGTGTGTGTGTGTGTGTGTGTGTGTGTGTGTGTGTGTGTGTGTGTGTGTTTGGAAACAGAGGATCTATTTCTGATTTCAGAATCCAAAAGAGGGCCATGATACATAAATGGCTAAGAGTTACTAGATTAGAGGGTCTGTGTATCCTAAAGTAGTTAATGGAAATGAAGTGGCCAGGGAAAAAGAAGGTGAAGGGCCTAATGTAAAACCAGTGTGAAATGAGATATTATGAGTGATTAATGTTTCATGTTATAGTGAAGTCTGAGTGTCAAGCTTTAAATGTGCAGATAGGAAAATAAGGCCCCATACTTTCGAATCTGAAAGAGCATTTATTTCCATGTCAAAGTACAGAAAGTAGAAAAATAAAGTTATAGATTCAGAACCTATTCCTATGGGTTCAGTTTTAGGACTTATACTTTTTGAAATAATGTTCTTCAAGAATGCAGTTTTGTAATAGCATTTTGTTTCGATTTCCTGCTGCATTCAACTAAACTTTTGTTCTCTCTATGACACTTTTAGGCATCACTTAATACAAGCCTGGGCTAGTTTCCAAAGGCACAATAAGTAATGATATTTCTATTTTTATGAAGACACTAACACTGACTTGTGTTTCTGCTAGCAAAACTGCTGAGTTCTTGAGCAGACTGGAGACAGAGTTGCCAAACAGAAGCACCTATCAAACTGCTTGCCATAACCTACAATATTCAGCTTGGGTAAGTGAATGTCATGCAGGGTGCTGTCTGGTACTGCAAAAGAAGCATTTAGTGAATGAAGATTAAGAGCATAGAATGACCTATGAAACTAGAATATTGGACATCACCTGGAGCTTATAGAAATATAGACAAATTTCAAGCCCCACTGCAGACCTAAATCAGAACTGCATTTTTAACATGGTCTGTGGGTGACTTGTGTGTACATTAATGTTGAGGAGCACTGTCTCAATCACTTATGTATTCATGGCCATATATTTTCACTATTTTAATCACTCAGTAAAGCTTGGTTACTTTAATTTTTACCCATGTGTCACGTTCTTTAAAAAGTCAACACTTACAGCTATATGTCCTTTGTAGGTCTTAAATCCCACTTTTACTCCAACACTGTAAACTCTTTGTATTAAGCTTCAATTGCTTATAAAATAAGTTAAGAAACTTAATGTGAGGCATGGTGACTGTAGTTAATACTCTGTCACATATTTGAAAATTGCCAAAGAATAGACCTTAAAAGTTCACATCACAAGAAGATATTTTATAATAATGTATGGTGACAGATGGATGTTAATTAGACTTACTGTGGCGATGATTTCTCAATATATACAAATATTGAATTATTATGTTGTAGACCTGAAACTAATATGATGTTATATGTCAATTATAACTCAATAAAAATTTTTCCATTGCTGCTGTAACAAATTACTATATCTTAGTGGCTAAAAAACAACACAAATTTATTGTGACAGTTCTGGAATCAGAAGTCAGAAATGAGTATGAATCATTGTCAGCAGGGCAGGTTCCTCTAGTGGCTTGAGCCCGGAATCTGGTCTATGCCTCTTCCAGCTTCTCTTGGTCACGACCATCCTTTGGCTCCTCAGCATGTGGCTACATCACTCTGATCTCTGCTTCCATTCTCACATCACCTTATCTGCACTTATTGACTTTGCTTTCCTCTTAAAGGGCCCTTGTAATTATATTTGGCTCACCTAAATCATCCAGGCTCATCTCATCTCAAGACCCATGATTTCTGAAAATTCCCTTTTGCCATATAAGGTAATATTCACAGCTTCCAGGGATTAGGACATGGAAGGTATTCATCCCACCACACTCCCTTAGCTGTTCTTTTGTTACTTGACTTTATGTATCTGTAAATGAATGTGTATATTGCCATCTCATGACTAATTACTTTTCTGTCTTCATAATAATTTATTTCCCCTATTCTCATAATATAACTATTCAGTATTTTATGTTTTTCCTTATTATGACAATGTAAATATATTCTCGCTGCCAAGCCAGTTGCATTTTCTCTTTTTAAAAATTTCACTTTATCTTTGCATTTTCTTAGTTTCCTTTGAACATTGGAACGCCTTCCTTCAGTTCTGGTTTTGAAACTTTCCTTTCACAGACTCCCCAGCCTTGTCTGCATATTGGAATCTCCTGGGGGGCTTTAAAATTCACTGGTGTGTTGGTCCTACCCTCAGAGATGCTGTTACTCCGTGGCCCTGACTTCAGGGCTCTTAAAGTTCTCCAAGTGTTTCTAACGTGCAGCCAGTGTTAAGAATCATTGCTTTAATGTCATCTGGGGCAGCTGTCGCCAACCTGTGGTCCGTGAGGAGTTACTGCTATTGCTTTCCTATGTTGGGTCCCCCCATTTCTGAGTCTCATTTATATTCTTGCTTTATTTTGCTTGTTTTGGTAGAGCATATTATTTAGTATCTTCTTAAGGGAAGATGCATATTCAGGTCCTTGCATATCTGAAATTATCTTTATTCACCCCTCATTCTTAGCTTGCAATTTTCTGGTAAGTATTCCAGTTTGGAAATAGTTTTCCTTCAGAATATTGAAGGCATTGCTCTTCTAACCTTGAGTATTAGCTCTTGGGAAATCCAAGGCCATATGGATATCAGTCCTTATAAGAGGGCTTTCCCCTACTTTCCCTGGAAATACTGTAATATTTTTTTTTCTGGCATTCTGCAATTTCATAGTGATGTCTCAGAGCAGAATCATCTTTATTCCTTTTAAAGAATGAAGGAAACTAATTTCTAGTTCTAAATGATTTTCTTGTGTTATTTCTTTGATTTATTTATCTTCATTTTCTCTTAATGGAATTTTTATTATTCAAACCCTAGGCATTTCTAGATTTATCTTCTAACATTTTGTAAAAAAAAAAAAAAAAAAAAAATCTTTCTCCTCTAATTTATCTTTGACTATCCCCCCTCCACTTCTTGGCATATTAAGTTAGAAAAAAAAATCCAGTTTTTCTCTTCCTTGTGACTCATTTGCTCTCACACCACCACACTCTCAACAGAGTGTGTGTTCACACCCGATGTGTAGGTTTTTTTTCTCTCACAGTAAGCAATCCTGGGACACCAGCTAAGTGCCCTACAATTAAACTCAACTGTGACACTACCTACCTGGAGATAGTGTCAGTTCCCACAGGTTAAGGGCTCAGTCCTACAAGCCTGCCGCCACTTCAGGTGCCAGTTGCAGCTAGTAGGTCCACAGGTTCCTCACAACTTTGGTCCAGCATGGCTGCACATTGGAGGTTCCTTGGGCTTGCTTAATTTGCTACTGCAGCCTGCAGAACTCAGGGTAACACATTTATCTGAAATTAAGGGTATAATACAAATACAGATAAGAGATACATAGGAAAGGTCTGGGAGGGTCCTGAGCACAGGAGCTTTGGTCCCCATGGAGTTGGGGTGGGGCTAACCTCCTGGTATATGGATATGTTCACCTGCCTAGTTGTTCCCTGAATCCTCATGCTTTTGAGATTTTTAAAGAGGCTTCCCCACATAGGCATCCTCAATTTAGAAGCTCCTCTGCCATCTCTTGAGGACAGGGGGAGGTGGGACTGAAAATCCCAGCTTCTAATTATGGCTTGGTTTCTCTGGAGACCAGCCTCCGTACAGGAGCCCTCCCAGAGTTGCCTCATTAGAACAAAAGATGTTCCTTATGCTCTTATCACTTAGAAAACTATAATGATTTTAGGAGCTCTGTTTAAGAAACTTGGAGCAGATACAAGAAAATGCATGTGAGATAAAAAATATATTATCTTCTGAATATTTTACTGGTTTGTCTTTTGTAAAGGGAAAGGAGATATTTTTGATTGCCAAGAGCTTCTTTTTTTCTGCATTGCTATTTAAAAATAATACTTTCTGTTTCATGGATAAAATATCCACCTTCTGCCTCTCAGAGGAAAGTGCAGAGAACATGAGAGGCTCACTGCTCAGTATGCTGGATTTCACAGAATCCTTTCATTCTCAGTAGGATGTTTGGCCATCGCTGCCTTGGTTCCAAGCGTGCCTTTCTTAGTTTATGTAGAGAGTACACTTTTGATTTCCTGTCCCGATTGGGAGAATTAGCACCTGAATTTTCAGGTGGGAGCAAGCATAGGCATCTTCCAATCATCCATCAGCCTTCCCTAATAACTGATCCAGATACTGAGTCCTCACATTGATCTATGGAGAAGACTGGCTTCTTATATGTGTTCTCTATCCCCTGGCCAGTGAGTCTTCAGGCTTGCTCTCTTCCTCTCTCAGTCACTTACCATTCTGCCATCTACTTTGCTTTTATAGATTGTTGTTTGGGAATACAGCTGTCTCCCAGTCTTCAAGGATAGAGTTTGTTTGTTTTATTTCCTCTTCTTGTTTTAGGGTAATTTTTGAGAGAAGAAAGGAGCATAAACATTTTTATTCCACCATCTTGAAATAGGAATTTAATGTTTGTCATGGGTTGAATTGTGTCCTTTTCACCCCAAAATTTAAATTTAAAACCTCCAGCACCTCAGAATGTGACATAATTTGGATAATGGGCCTTTACAGTGGTAATCAAGTAAAAGTGAGGTCATGAGAGTGGGTTCTAATTCAAAAGTAGAGGTGTCCTTATAAAGGGGGGGGGATTTGGTCACAGAGACAGACACAGAGGGAAGATGATGTAAAGGACACAGGGAGAAGACGTCCATCTCCAAGCCAAAGGAAGAGGCCTAGATCCTTATTTCATGGTCCTCAGAAGGAACCAATCTTGCAGATACCTTGATTTTGGACTTCCAGCCTCTAAAACTGTGAGACACCAAATGTCTGTTGTTTAAGTCACCCAGACTGTGATACTTTGTTATCATAGGGCAGCCCTGGAAAATCAATACAGTGTTTTTCTCCATTTGTTCAAATTTCCTTCCCCCCTTAGTCTGATTCTAATTCACTCTTTGAGACACAACTTAGTGTCATCTATTTTGAGAAGGTGCCCTTGATCCAGTTTAATTAAATGTCCTTCTTTATATTTCCTCTTTCACAATACCTATCATGATGTACTATAATGATTGATCTTCTTGTCTAACTTCCGCAGTAGGGTGTAAACAGTTGTGGTCTGGGATTATGTCTTAACCACAGTGCTTACACATATGAAGGTTAAATATTATTTATTGAATAACTATATCATAAGCATAGCTTTGGGAGAGGATGAGTAAAACTGTATTTTATTTTATTTTTTATTTTTTTAAAATATATTTTATTGATTTTTTTACAGAGGAAGGGAAAGAGATAGAGAGCTAAGAATGTCAATGAGAGAGAGAGACATCGACCAGCCACCTCTTGCACACCCCCTACTGGGGATGTGCCCGCAACCGATGTACATGCCCTTGACCGGAATCAAACCTGGGACCCCTCAGTCCGCAGGCTGACGCTCTACCACTGAGCCAAACCGGTTTCGGCTAAAACTGTATTTTAGTTGAGTAACAAAAATGTAAGCTTTAATATAATGTTAAATTCATATTTAATGTTAGAAAAAAAATACCTAAATACAATGATATAGAAGTTTCAGGGATTTAAAACTAAAAAAAAAAATAGTGATCAGAACTGTTTCCTCTCTTGGTTTTGAACAGAAACTTCCTGTCCTGCCTAGGGATCACAGCTGGGTAAGCCCCCATGAGGATTACAAGTAACTTTGAAGTCTTCATAGTTAAGGTGCCAGACGATTTCCCAGTTTTGAATGACACTTTATGTGTCTAACCATTTTTTTTCCCTGAATCCAAAACTAGGAACCATATTCTGATAAATGAACAAGTGCTTAAGTTTGTTTGTTTATTTTAAATATATTTTTATTGATATTTGAAGGGAGAGGAAGGGGAAGGGATAGAGAGAGAGAAATATCAATGAGAGAGGAACATCATTCATTGGCTGTCTCCTGAGTGTGCCCCTACTGGGATCGAGCATGCAACCTGGGGAATGTGCCCTGATGGGATATCAAACTGGTGACCTCTTGTCAAGGCTCAACCACTAAGCCATACCAGCTGGGCATCAAGTGGTTAAATTTAAAAGGAAGGTATACAAACAGAATTTAGGTTTTCCACTCAAATCATAATACCTGATTTAACTAAATATTTTACTCCTTCTTTTAATCTCTTGAGTAGATGTACTCCCTTATCCCCTTCCCCTCAGCCCTTTTAGGTATTCTGTGGAATATTTGTGATGAAGCCTAGCTTTCTCCAAAAAGAAGGGGTCATTGAGAACCACTCCAACCTTCTGTCTTATCACAGTCCCCTTGTGTTTAGGGGATAGACAAGATAAAGTCACAGGATGTCTGTCTAATGTAACAGGGTTTGCATATATAAGGGCTTGCTGAACACATGCAGAGCTCCACTATTCTAATTAGTTGTGTTATAGATGATACAATCCCTCTCGGGCAACTATGTCTTCTTATCTGATGTGATATGGGTTCTATGGTGACAGAAATGGGGGAATGAATTAAGAAGTGCTTGAGAAAAATTATAGTAAGAGGAAAGGGGGGCCCAGCCTATATAAGCTTTATGGATGTTAGTCCAAAGAACAAGTCCTGAAATATGCAGCCTGCTGCCATGATGCTGCTGGTGCTTTTATGAGAAAAATGAAATTCCCTACACATTAGCTTACCAGGCTGGCCTCTCTGCCTTATGGAGGCTGGGCTACAAATCAATGTGTGAGAGAGAAAGTATATGACCAATGAACAGACAGAATACTTGTTATCTCATAAATTCCAGAGTCTGGTCTCTATGCCCGAGTGTAGAAGCCTGACGTAGTGGGTCAGTAGGACGAAAGACATCCTGCTGTGCATGCTGGCTCTCCTAAGGCTCCCCAGGCGGTCCTAAATCAGCCGGATTTATGGCTTCTGTGCTCCTTAACAGGCCTTGTTTTCTGCTGAGAAATAGAAATATGCTTCAGGTACAGACTGGGGATGCAAAGACTTAGAAAGAAATGCATCTCTGAAATCATGTGGTAGCAGTTACCAGTTGACAGGCTTTTTAACAGGATCCATTAATGAGCAGTAGACATATCAGTGCTTCTAAACTCAGGGCCACTATTGCTTGTCTCTGATATTAACTAATTAGCTGGTTGGAATATTCTTGAAAAATATTTAACTTTCCTCTATGTCTTTTTAAAAATATATATTTTATTGATTTTTTTACAGATAGGAAAGGAGAGGGATAGAGAGTTAGAAACATCGATGAGAGAATCATCGATTAGCTGCCTCCTGCACACCTCCCACTGGGGATGTGCCCACAACCCAGGTACATGCCCTTGACTGGAATGGAAGCTGACTCTTTATTCACTGAGCCAAACCGGTTTTGGCTAACTTTCCTCTATTTCAAAGCCTTTTCATTAGAAAAAATATACACTATGTCAACTATCTCTGGGGGGCTGTATGTATATATGTATATATATGGCCAGATTATAATGTGTTCAGAGATCATAATAATCTGGTCACTCAGGGTATACATACCTGGACCCTTCAGTCTGCAGGCTGACACTCTATCCACTGAGCCAATAAATAAATTATTTTCTCTTACATTCTTTTTCTATCTCCCTTTCACCCTTGCAACTTCCTTTTTTAAATTTTATTTTTTTATTATAATTATTGGGGTGACATTGGATAAAAAGTTATATAGATTTCAAGTGTTGATTTCTATGATACATCATCTATGTATTGCACTGTGTGCCCACCATCTAAAGTCAAATTTGAGGGGATATTTTTAAAACCCAAATTAAACAAGCATTTAAATCATATTTTAAAATGTGCTTATACTAGCATTCTTTTTACATATCCCAAGGGACATCTTCAGACACATGCATAAATAATTCAAGAGTTAATTCTATATGAAGAGATGCTTAATACAGAAGTTGAGTTATTAAAACCAGATCCATGGTAGGCAGACTAATATATTGTGGTGATGTTTTTTCCTATGAATTTTCCCCCTATATCTTAACAGGCCAGAAGTCAGGCTTATAAGGATTCTCTAAAGGAAGAAGAAAACAAAAAACTACAGAAGATGAAAGAACAACACCAGAAGGTATTCCTCAGACCCTATTGGTCATTGCTAATTATTTATTTCTGACAATAGATCATTTCAAAGGGTTTCTGAATAGATATATTTATATACATGAAAAATAACACAAGCATTACAGAAAAGTGAGATGGGGGATGTTTTAAGAGTGTGGTGGTATGGAGATGTGGTGGTTAATTCTAGTAAAATCTACCAGGATACTTTATCTCATAGGTCTACAGTGTGTCTGCTATAATTGGTACCAGCAGTTCATGGAGATTATAGAACACTTTTTAAACTCATCTATGGAAAATAACCAATGGCACTAACATTAAAAAAATGATTTTAGCAAGAAAGGAAAGGTGGGGGAGAGAAAAAAACAACAATACAACAACATCAAAGTGAGAGAGAAAGATTGATCCTAATGTGCCCCAACTAGGGATCAAACTCACAACCTGGATATGTGGCCTGACTGGGAATTGAACCTGGAACCTTCTGCTCTATGGGACGACACTCCAACCAATTGAACTACACTGGCCAGGGCAATACTGACAGTTTTTAAACCAAAAATATACATAAGGTATTATAGATAGTGTTCAGAGAATATTATAATGCACAACAGAGTGGGTATACACATTCATGAAGGTGTATACCCATTTAAGTGAATATTCATGAATATTCACTTAAAATATACATATCATAAAATATAAAGATACTCTACGCATATATACATATATGTGAGGCAATCCAAAAATTTTGAGCAATAGGAGTAAGTACAATGAATGCACAGCCTCCTACGAAGAGTGCTGAAAGGGCAATGCTCATTAGAATATGAAATCTCTGGCATGGTCACTGAAACAGTCAGTGTTTAGACTTTATGGTCAAATCTGCCTTTGATACATAGGCTGTGATGGGGCCAGCAGCTCCTCAGCATGGGCTCAGAAGGACGAGGAATACCAGTGGTGAGCTCCAAGGTGCTGCTCCTTTAAAAAAGGATCCTTTAAAAAAGCAAAATAAATTATTCATCTAGTTGGAGACCATTACCTTCCCCATAATTTTTATTTTCCAACTTTTATTCTTACAGTATTGGTGATTGACATATCCTATTGCTTCTTCTAGGATATCCCGCAAATCCTTTTTTTCAATTATACAATTAACTTGAATTTCCATTTTGATTTCCTTGATTTGGTTTAATTTGTTTTCATCCTTATGTTTTTACCACACAAAGTTATTTATTATAGTAAGTGTGTGAGAAAATCACATTATGATAGACTATATGTACGAATTATTATTATTATTTTTAAAATATATTTTTATTGATTTTTTACAGAGAGGAAGGGAGAGAGATAGAGAGCTAGAAACGTCGATGAGAGAAACATCCACCAGCTGCCTCTTGCACACCCCCTACCAGGGATGTGCCCACAACCAAGGTACATGCCCTTGACAGGAATCAAACCCGGGACCTTTCAGTCCACAGAACGATGCTCTACCATTGAGCCAAACCGGTTTCGGCTATATACAAATTATTGTTGCTATAATTTGACTCCTTCCAATAGTGACCAATCTCTTACTCATTCGGTTTCACCCAGTATACAGTTTAAATGACTGTGTCACTGACCTCTTTTGTACATGGTAGGCAGTAATTAAATAGCTAAAAAAATAATGTAAATTTAGCTTCTATATAAGCTATGAAAAAGCCATAAATATTTTTAATTCCCTGATTTTTTTTTTAAACACAAATACATTTTGACAAAGCCATATTGAAATGCACAATAAAATAAGCAACATTATAGTAATACTAGAGGCCCAGTGCACAGATTCTTGGATGGCCTGCAGAGATCTGGCTGCATCTGGCTCTCTGACATTCCTTGAGGGGTGCTGGATTACTATGCACCCTGGAATTGGGCTCCCTCCACTCTGGTTCTAGATGCATCACCCAAGAATTGCAGCTGCCACGTCACTGAAGCTCACCAGCTCCTGCATTGAGTATCTGTCCCCTGTTGGTCAGTGCACGTAGTAGCTGCCAGTTGGCCAATCTCTTAGGCTTTTATATAGAGAGATTCCAGTAGTTAGCAAGTGAAAGCTAACTAATATTTTCAATATCTGTCAGATGATAAAAAGTGTTCATCTGTTTCTGTGATCTTTTAACTTAGTAACAAGTTCTGAAGTTGGGACAGAGAAGAGTGTTATGAAGACAGTGTACATATGATTTATTTTAAAGTAACTTCTAATGAATTTTAAATAGTGTTTTATACAATTTGGTGTATATTTTTGGAATGTGAAAACCATTAAAAATAGAACATTTTATAAAGAGAGTGCTCAACAGATTAGAAAATTAGATCTGGGATTTAATTTTCAGGTTGAACAATTATTTTAAACAGTAAAAATTAAGCTTTTTATTTCTTAATCTTGTTTTCTCTTCTGGAGTTAGACAAATATTGATACATATGTATTTTCTAGTTATTGATTGAACATACATTTTTCTTTGACATAAACTGTTTCTTTACTTATTATAGCTTTCAGTAAAATGAATAATGTTAGCACATAGATAATTCCATCATTAGGGTTTTAAATAACAGTAGAATACATAAGGGTATTCATCATATTTTTATTCAATCTGTTGTTAAAAAATATTCATTGAAGGTATTCCCTGATTGGTACAATCTGTCATTCCTTATCACATCAATGATTTAACTTAAGAAATTATGAAAAATCATGTCTATGGTAAGAAGATATAGAAAACACATATCATTGCATCTATTCATTTATCTGTTTCTCCCATTCATTTAACAAATATTTATTGAATACCTGCCCTGGAGTAACTTATAAGTAGATTATCTAGGGTAAGTTGAGGTCACAGCATATTTATTTGATTCTCTATGTCCCTTACTTTCACATTTTCCCATTAATCTCTGGAGACAGTAGGTTCTTTCTTAAGTTTATATGTGATTAAGTTACCTCTTCTAGGAATGTATTTATAATTCCCCTTTTTCCTCTATCCTTTCAACATATTTTTCTCCATTGACTAATATTTGTATTTTGGTAACTAATATGCTCACTCTTGCTATTTTAAAATGAAGAAACCAACAAACCTCTTCCTTGATTCTGCTATCCTCACATATATAACCTATTCTATTTCCACCAAAGTAATAAAAGTAAAGACAAAGGGAATATTACTGTAATCATATCTTTATTACCTACTTCATCCTTAATTCTTTATGTTCTGGTTTATATTAACTGAAAAACCTGATTTGTATTCTTACTAAAACAATTCTCTAAAGGTAAAAATCCCTTCTCAACTTTCAATTCAGTGGACTTTTCAGACTCTCTGTAACTCTGTAAAAGTATCTAACACCACTTTAAAGCTTTCTTTTCCTGGCTTTTTATACTGCATTATTTTGATTGAATCCCTCAGCATAATCTATTTCTGTATTCATTCACCTATCCATTCATTCATTCATTCATTCATTCATTCATTCAATCAACAAACATATATTGAACTTCCATTATATGGCTGAGCCTTGTGAAGGATACTGGAGCATCAATTAAGAACGGATATTCTGCCAAAACCGGTTTGGGTCAGTGGATAGAGTGTCTGCCTGTAGACTGAAAGGTCCCAGGTTCCATTCCGGTCAAGGCCATGTACCTTGGTTGCGGGCACATCCTCAGTAGGGGGTGTACAAGAGGTGGCTGATCGATGATTCTCTCTCATTGATGTTTCTAACTTTCTATTCCTCTCTCTTCCTCTCTATAAAAAAATCAATGAAAATATATTTAAAAAAGAACAGATATTCTCCATATAAAAAAATTAACTCAAAATGGATTAAAGACCTAATTATAAGACCTGAAACAATTCTATATAATAAAACCCTAATATGCAAATCAACCAGTTACTATGACACGCACTGACCACTAAGAGGGAGGTGATCAGGAAGTGGGGCTGTCCAGGGGATGATGCAAGGCTGCCAGCCAAGGCAGGTGGGGGGAGGGGGTAGTCATCCTGCCTGCTGATTGCTCCACAGATCAGTCCTGATCACCACCCAGGCTTAGGGACCCTACCTGATATATGGGGAACAATCTTTTAGATTTAAAAATTAAAACCTGGCAAGGCTACTCTACACTGAAAAAAACAGGATAATGCAGCAATGACATGCATGGACTCTGGCTTGCACATTTTGTGGTCAGCCTCAATTCTGACACTTATAACTGTGTGACAAAGCCAATTACTTAGCTTCTCTCTGCTTCAGTTTTTCCATGCATAAGATGGGGAAAATGGTAACTACTGGCCTCAGAAGGATCATGTTATGTACTACTTTTTATAATCTGGGCAAAAAAATGTAGCTGCCCATACATCAGCAAGATGCCTTTCACCTGCATGAAAGTGTGGTCACTGGTGCATGCAGCTTCGCAGATTGTGAAAGGGATGTCCGTCCAACTGCTGGTGAGGCACACGCCAGGCTGAGGGACTCCCCGCCAATACACAAATTTTGTGCACCAGGCCTCTAGTAAATTATATAAAAGAAAACATAGGTACTAGACTTATAAACCTTGGTTGTAGAGAAGATTTTATGAATTTGACCCTAAAGGTAAGAGAAATAAAGGCAAAAATAAATGAATAGGATTACATCAAATTAAAAAGGTTCTACACAGCTAAAGAAACTACCAACAAAACAAAAAGGCAACCAACCAAAAGGGAGAAAATATTTGCAAACAACAGCTCTGAAAAGAGGTTAATATCCAAAATACAGGGTGGGGCAAAAGTAGATTTACAGTTGTTTGCATGAAAAATAATACAGTAATAAAATGTGGATTTGTTAATGATAGCCATTCTGACAGGTGTTTTGATTTGCATTTCTCAGATAATTAATGACTTTGAGCATGTTTTCATATGTCTCTTGGTCTTCCTTATGCCTTCTTTCAAAAAATATCTATTTAGGTCCATTGCCCGTTTTTTGATTGGGTTGCTTATTTTCCTTTTATGAAGTTCCCTGTAAATGTTGAAGATTAAATCGGTGATAACATTGGAA